AGTAGGAATATTCCTCTTTATTCCCGTAGGTACCATCACAACTGTGTCCTGAAACAATACAGCTCTGTACTGCAAGCTCAGCTCCACGCAAGGAAAGGAGGAAAGACAGCACCTTCGAGCCATTAACTGATGTGCACCTCAATACGAAGTGACAGCTCCTTCAAATCACTCAAACGCCCATGGTGGGCAATACAGTCTGCTTACCGGAGCCTAAGCCGAGGAGCTGGAAGGCTGTGCTGTACTCCTGGCTCTCCTCATCAGTCATTGTCGAAGGACCCTTCCAAGGAGGTAAAAAGCGGCGTTTTACCCAACTCCCAGTGAGGCGTAACCACAGAGGGCCTGATTCTCCTCTACCGTGCGCTCGCTCTGCCCGTTTGCACCAGTGCAAAGAGAGGAGGAGGATCTAGGACATCCCCTCATCAGAACGATACCAGCATCGTACGACAAAATTCTTCCTTTTCCTTCACAAGCAATCAATCCATCAACATGTTAAAAAAAATAAGTTTAATGTAGGTGGCATGTTTCATACAGAATTTAACAGGCACCCAAAACACCAGCTGGTGCCATGTTCTGAAGAGTTAACAAGGTGAAACTCCAACACTTCAGTCTCGTTCGTACATTCACAGGCTAAACAACAGGCCGAGGCAGCTTTGCCACCGCACGTACCATCATCCCTGGTCTTAAGTCTGCGCAACGCAGCCGGAGCCTCTGGACTGAGCACCTGGAAAGCTCCGGAGCGAGCAGGACTCACGGGGAAAGTCCTCCGGAGGGGTTGGCATGGGTCTGGGATGGACACACTCTCCCACATCAGTATTTCTAGTATTTGTCCTAATTACTCTTGAGGCCGTTTTTGACCCAGTAAGTATAATAGCAATATTTAAAGCCCAAACGTGGAAAGCAAAAGAAAAAGGACAAGACAGGGAACAAACCAGCTGCTCTCGCTGTTCAGGATGGAATCGGCATGAAGGAATGCTGAAATGAAAATTTCAAAAGATTTTAGAGTTACAGCCATCTATGTAGTAAGAAGGGAAGACTTAACGCATTTTGGAGTCTGATCCATCCCTCCCAGCATCGATGAATTTGGAAAGAGTAAAAAAATCCAAGAGAATATGAACTTCCCCAGTGGGGCACAGTTTGCAAGTACCTGCTCAACATGAAATATTTCTGGCAAATATCATTATAAGCCACTTGTTTGACTCTTGAAAAGCAGAAAGTTCAGCTTCTCCCGTTTCCTTACTTCTTGTATTCTACGCAGTTTGGTTTCCCCCCCTTTATTAAAAATGCCAGGTTTTTCAATTAAACTAAATGGGGGAAAAAACCCACCCAGCTTATTCTTTGCATATACTTAGTATAACATTTATTCTGCCTCTTCCTCCCTCCCTCAGGTGTGGCTTGGCTCCCCTTGAGCTTGTAAGAAACTTTTAGAATCTCAGCTCCTTGAGAAAAAATATTTTGGCAAAGTAATCCCAAAAGCTTTCAAAAAAAATCTCAAATTTAAAAACACTGAATTTAAATTCCGAACCATTACCAAGATCTTACTTATTCTGCAATCTCCTGGGGATGTTGTGAGGTTTAATTAGCTCCAGCTGGAAAATGCTTTGAAGAGGAGAAGTGCCGTAAAGGTGCCAAATACTGCTCCACTCACGTAGATCTAAAATGTTCAAATTATTACATCATAAAACAAATCATTTGAAAATTAATTCCTCTTCCTTGCCAGCATGACTTCAAAGGGACCTCACTTCCCCCACTACGCTGGTAGGATCCCACCACCCGAGCACTGCAAGGTGTCCAAATGCCGGTAGGGACCAAGAATGAGAGTATTTGAAACTTCACAGTGCCTTCGAGGCCTCCTTCTCAATTATTTAATCTTGGGGCCGTCCATCTTTGTCTGCAATTGCAGACTTGAGATTCGGGGCGCTCTGACAGCAGGTACTCGGCTACCTTTGCAAAAGAAGAACGGGGAATCACTCCCCACTGTCTTCTAAGCAGCTTAGCCCCAAGGTCTCTCTCGAGGAACATTTGGGCGCTTGGCAAACACGACTTTTTTGTGATTTGATAAGGACATGTACTTTTTCCTCGGTGTGCACCACTGAACCTGGACGCAGAGGGCTGATGGGAAGTCTGTGCAGTAAAGCAATGAACTGCAACGCAGAAGTCCTTGTTTGTTCAACTGCCGCTGCAGGAGTGTCGCAGAGCAGATTTGGACTGCTTAAAGAACCACCGCCAAAGGTAGCAGCAAAAGTGGTTTTATTGAAGCAAGATGTCGTAAAAGTGAGGTTTAACAGAGTCCGATGGCAAGGTTGAATCTATTATTTACTGCACAGAGGATATAATAAAGATTCAAAGTTACCAATACAAGATCTTAATGCCCTGCGATACAAGGTTATGCGCAGTCACTTACCAGAGATCTGCAGTTGGTAAGGGGTCTCTCAACCTCGATGAGTAACCTTGAAAGGCGTCCCAACCCAAGGGGAGATCTCCGCCATGCAGCCAGCTGCTTAGCAGGGAGAGCTCAAAAAAAGCTCACTCAGGCTGTCATATTTATGGAATAAAGCGGTTGGCTCGTAGTCAAATTACGTGCGATGGAAAAGGTAAGTATGAGACTCCTTGTACCCACAACCTCCTTTGTTCCTTGACCAAATTAGTCTTGGAAGAACCACCTGCTATTCATGTGTTAATCGCATGATCGGTGTTCCGGTTTCCAAGCTCATATACATCAAAGCTCACCATGTCACCCTGTTCCTCGTGTGGGTTTTCAAAGAGCAAGTTGGAACTAGAGAAGTTCATGACCTGGTCACAGCCTAGACCTTTACTTCCTTTGGAGCCTGAACCAAAACTACCACAGGTTTGGTCAAGCAGTCGAGCGTACCCGTCACAAAGAGCACCCACCAGCTGAAGCAGGCAGGGGTGGGGAGCGCAGCGGCACCCACACGTACCACAAATCACCCTTTCACTCATCATTAAGGAGTGCTGAAATACAGCCACCCCAAGGTGAAACAAGGTCCTGCCAACCTCCTACCAGTCCCCATGCTGCGCCTCCTGCGAAGGGCGAGGGAGAGCTACTCTCGGCTGTGCCTCGCTGGGGTCCCGGCTGGTCTCTCAGCTCGCACCAGGGCTGTTTGCTGACCACCTGTGACATGTTTCCTGCGGGAATTCTTGAGCACAGCCACCCCAGGAGTCCCGCGGTCTGCACGCCGGAGCTGCAGTGCCCCAGGCTGACAGCTATACCGGGGAGGAAAGCACCGGGCTGGGAATTACTGGGAATTCTCTCTGCCCACAGGGCAAGCTGTAGCTCAGACCTGCAGGACACCGAGGACCCGCAGTCCGGAGAGCGATCCCAGAACGAAGCTCTGGGGAGCTCTACAGTTAGGAGGAAACTTCCAGACACCAGTTTGTGACATATGCTGACACTACGTCTTTCCTGCAGAAACAGCCTTCGGCTCTCGCGGGGCTAATCTAAAGTTCACACCGCCACGGCCCATTATTTATTCAGCTCTGCGTGTTCAGCCTGCATTATCTGTTAACACTTGATAACGAGATAATTTCTGGGTTTGCTTTAGCTTTGGGCTTCAGACAGAAGCTTCTCTATTTTGCATCCATAAGCCTACAAATCAAAGTATGTCAGCAAAAGACCGCAATACTCACAAGCTGAAATATGAAGCATCCTTCCCTGTGTGCAAACTGGCTTTGTTCTCAGTCACATTCGTATCGCAGACCAAAGCGATCATAAAAGAAGAGTCACGTATTTCCAGTCTTGCTTATTCCATTATGATCGACTCCAGCGACTTCAGGGGAGGAAAAACAAAGGGTCTCCATCATTTTTACCAACTTGTTTTAAAACAGTTCTTTAAAGAACACGAAGAAAAGGGCCGTTTTCCATTATAAGGAAAAAACAACAAAAACAGAATAAAAATAAACTTTAAGCCAGCTTCTGGACTCGATAAAGAGTTACTTGACTGACTGCGGAGGAACAGTCTGAGATCTTAGATCAAGACCAGTAAAACTGAGCTCAACGCTTAACTCCCTTCCTGAGCCGTTAGTAAAGCTCCCCAGTGACCCCACTCCCACCGCTGCAGAGGTAGGAGAGAGAATGTCTTCTGTAATCGCAGAGAACAATTATTGCCATTTCAGATCGTACTCTGCTTTCAATCTCTCCTAGGTGAGAGAGTCTCATCTCACCATACTCTGTAAGACAGAAGTACCTCTGTGAGAAAACTGGAACTAATCAATTTGGGGAAAAGTAGAACCAAACACCAAGATCTAAATGCTAAAGACCATTGCAACGGGTCCCCCTTAATCACTCCAAATTGATAACATATTTGCCGTGACTGGGAATGTCAAGAGCACACGATACCAAACTCTGCTCCCTTCACTCCAGTGGATTTGTTCTGTTAGGGTAAGAGTCAATTACTCAGCACTAACTGCCTGAGAAGGACAAAGCCATTTGAAGCTATATAATTATGTTAAAGTGAACGGAACAGCATAGTGGGTCAAAAGCATGTCTTGCACAAGTCTAAAAACAAAACAGAAAAAAAAACCCCAAACCCCCCTACACTCTGTTGAGTTTGGCCCCATATTCTTAGCAGGGAATATGCAAAATGCAAACTACACAGAGAAAGGATAACGCTGGTCAAGTAGGGTACGTGTTACATGCCTGAGACGTTAAGGAACATTTTTAGAAAAAGGGTGAAGATGGATTAAGGGCGTGGGGTGCAAAGTTATCTGGCTTCTGTCCTCCAGACAAATCACTGCCTTTTTCATGCCCACGGGAATACAGGAACAGCAGCAAGGTAGGCTCCTATGGACTAGAAGCAATTCGTAATAACTTGCACTGTGCAAAGGAAAAACACCCAATCAAGTGTTGCACTTCCATAATCAAAATGGCACCTCAACCCTCAAAAAGATACAAATTCCAGAGACAAGTATGTTAATTTATCAATAAAAAGTAGCACTGATAAATAAATTAATTTATATAAAAAAGAAAAGAAGATTTGGACACATTTTGGGGTAGAAGAAAAGTCACCTTCTCAGCCCACATGCGCTTGTTTTATTTACATATCCACAAATACCATGAAACACCATCCCAGCCCCCCCACTAGCAGCATGGTCACATGAATTCCGTAGATGAGCAGTTCATTCATGAGGCTGAAGTCTACCCGCCTTCGCCCCAGTAAGAGGAGTATGATGGAGAGTTTGTACTGGAAACGCAGAAAGATCCGGATGCCAAGGTACTGAAGGCAAAACAAGATAGAGAGTGCCACCCAGAGGATGGAGGTAAAGAGGCTGCAGCTGAAGTACAGCAGGAAACGGATGAATCCATACATCCATCGGGATTTGAGATAGATGTCGAAATTGTTGTACTTGGTGCGCACCAAGTGAGTGGTCCTTACCGGGCCACAGGCCGAATGCAGGCAGGTCGTGTGGGGGCCGTGGAACGAACGGACCCGGCGGGGAATGGGGATTACAGGCATCAGGCACCCCACCGGTCACAGAGTCCCAGGGCAGGATTTACAGGGCACATATCAAATATTATCCATGAACACGGAAGAGATCCAACAGCCTGGGAACGCTAACTCTTTGCTGAATTTCCAGGAAGGAAGAGACCTGCAGGAAGGCAGAGAAGGAAAACACATGTAAGTAGCCCCAGCAGGAGGAGAGGCGGCATGGCAGATACTCTCCGGCGTGGCAGTTACTCACAACTGCTTTGCAAAACTCAACTTCTTGGCTTAAGCCAACTTTGCTTTGCTTCTTTGCTGACTGTTTACCAGGCAGACATAAGAAATACAGTTCTGTTTCCATCACGACCAAGTCAGATTCCAAACAGCTCCCTAGTAGCATGCAATATCAGCACTAGCCATAGCCTTTTATAAGCTTTACAGTGTTAATGCAGGAAAGATGAGAACTTTGTTCTGGAATTAGCCTGGCTAATTCACAGGTCCTCCTTAATCAAACAGCTGTCCTGCAACAGTCCACCCATGCGAGCAGTAATATTAATGTATGTGTTTGCATTGCATCATATTTTTTTTAAAGAAAAAAAAAAAAAGTTCTCCAAGTACTTTTGCAAGCGAATTCTACAGACCAGACACAGCGGTGATTCTAGATTTCTGCTCATTTCAAAACTTGGCAAAGCTTCACCAAATAAACAAACTGAAAATAATGGAAGGTCTTGCAAGAACAATGAGGCAATCGTGTTTTTCACACTCTACAGGATGTACCTCCCCTTGCTCAGCCGAGCCTTGCGGTCTCAATGTCATTGCACCCAATGGCAAGGCAGCCTTTCAAAGACATCTACTAGTTTATTTCTCCCTTTGGGACCCGCAGATAAGTGAAATATCTTGATCTTCTGGAGTGTTTAGGATTTATAATCTTAACATCCTTTCACACACCCATTGTTGCTATGTGAGTGATGAGCAGTAGCCTGTTCGCTGCTCTCTGCTTCACCCCAGGCTTACGATGTGCCAAATTCCGGGAATTATGAAATGACAATGCACTCATCAGATAATGCTAGAAAACAACAGGGACTTCCCCGGCCTCCTTGCACACCCAGGCGTTCAGACCTGGGCAGATCTTCCCTTTGCTGAACCAGAAACCATATTACCCTTAAAATTAAAAGTAAAGTAATTTAAAAGTTACTTCAAGAATTTTTTACTTTGCTACTAACAAGACTAGTCGCAGGGTAAATTATAATGCTGCGGGAAATTGTACTTTGATATCAAAAGCCCTCCCTGATACAATGCGCATCACTGGGCAAGTCTCTTCACTGCTTCCTGCCTCAAATTACACGTAAATGGAAACTGCAGTTCTGATCCCTTCTGCTTGGCCCCAGGCTCTAACTCCTTTTCGCCGTTACAGAAATTTGCAGGCAATCCGTTGGCTCTACATGAATGAGGGGCTAATAAAAAGGAGCATGGGTTAACTTATGATTAAGGCATTTAGGAAGTCGAGGTCTGTTCTCAATTATCAGAGACAGTCTCATAATTTTAAAGTGCCTCTTTGCCATAATTTCCTGTCTGCAGAAAGGAAATACTGAGCAGCTCGGAAGCGTGTTACAAGAATGTATTTTGCAAGGCATATAAATTGGTCAGACACTAAACCAACACTACTTAAAAACAACGTAGTCTTGTGCCTGGAGCATGCAACCCAACATGCTTCCCACCTGCTGCACATATACTGCTCAGTGCTTGTTTTCAGAGGTATTTTTGGAGTACTAAATGAGCAAGATAGGTTAAAATTCACATACTCTGATTCAGAGCATTCCGTATTCGACGATGCAGTCTCTCCTCACAACCTCTTTCACCAGAACACCAAGGACAGCTTATCATTTTCCAGCAAGCTCTAACATAGCTACTTAATCTGAGTCTCTGAGCAGCCACAGGCAAGTCAGCGTGCACGCTATTAGAGCGCTCACCAAGAGGGACGGAGCACAAACCCCGCTTGCATAAGCTGTAGTTTGCAGGGGCAAACTCAACACGCTGGCGGAGCCCTGTTTTAGAAAGGGAGTTTTGATTCTGCCAAAACCTTCAACAGATGAATCCAAGAGAACCGCTCAAACGGCTCAGCCGCAGAGACTTACTCTTTGGGAACAGCAGCAGCTTGCTCCCATTTACTGTGCCCGCCACACGAACAGCCTCTGGTAGGTTCACGCTCTTTAGATAAACTCAGATATCAACACTGGAACAGCCACGAGCAGGGGAACATTGTGAGAATAAAATAAACTTTCTGAAATATTACATTTTCAACGGTGCCGCCATCCACTCAGCAGAAGGTCGGTAATCCGCTGCCGTTTCTGGATGCCACTTAATTCTTGTAACAAAAAAGTGAAGTTTTCCTGTGACACCTGGCCTTCTAGGAGGAGTGAAAGAAACTGCTAAGGTGCTTCATAGACTCACAACGTTCTACATATGAGTTGATCTAAAAGATAAAACGAGAGAGTAAGTTTCAATTTGCTCATTTTGTGTGTTAAAAAGTTGAGAATTACTAGGCCCCTCCCCAAGCATGAATTTTTAATCCCATAAAGATTCTAAAAAAAAAAAAAAAGCCAAACCACACGCTGAATAATATAGGTATTACAGCTTACTGGTATGTGCTGGAAAGAATCGGCTAGCTTGTACTCAATGCCACACACAAAGACAGGAAAGAGAAAATCACCGAAAAAGAACTCCTGTCAGTCACCTTCTCCTGCCACGGAACCATCACCGTCCACCCAGGGCGTACGAAACACGACGCAGAGGGCACGCGCAGCCAACGTTTTTCCAAACAGAATGTGGAAGAGCAGGCCCCCAAACCTGTATGTTGGCACACGATGCCTAGAAGCGTTTGGACACCCATGCCTCAAGATCATTTCGGGGGGGGCCTTTCTGTTTTAAAGCACGTCGCTGTGAGGCTGGCAAGCTGCGTCGGGCTCTTGTGGGTATCATCCTACAGCTCAAAGGAGTTCAACTCTAAGGCCCGGGCACCTCGACGTCAGCCATGCTGCCGCTACCCCAAGCGCCACGTTAACGATGGCCTCATCAGGAAGTTAAAAATCTGGATAACTATTCACTTTGGTGAGTTTTTCACTCCCACTCCTTTAAAAATGGAGCGTATGACGAGAAAGCTACCGAAATACAGTGCTGCTTCTCTTCATCTACCACCCATTCCAGGCAAGGCCTGCTGTTGCTCAGGGTACCCATAACTCGCGGAGGAGGAGGGATGACAGAAAGACCGCAATGTTCACTGACGACCGGGCCATCAGTCAGGACCAGCGGGACCGAAGTGTTCCGGAAGGAGCCAAACGAGGTTCGGGACAATGACAAATAAAGGTTAGTGCTGATAAACGAAAGCAGGGGGTACCGGAGGGAGGGGAAGTTCGAACTCCTCCTACATCCTACCAGACCCTAAATTAAACCGCATCGGCTTGGGAAAGGAACCGAAGGCAGGGAGCTCAGCCGGGATTTCCCCGTGGCCTGCGCGGTCGAGAGCACGGCCCGGAGGGCGGGGA